GAGAAATGTTATCCTCATTTCACAAGCTGCAGATCTGCCCAAGGCCAGGAGAAGTCCAGGGAGGCAACCATTTTATGCCAGGTTCTATTTGTAATGTAAATGCAAACTGCTTTTTAATCATGCAAATACCCTCTGATTCACACAGAGGGCTTATTCATGCTATTCTAGATTAACCAGCCTGCTCAGCACTTCCTTGTTGAAGCAACAACCAATCCACCAGCAGGTCTGTAAGTTCTGCTGACAGTAAAGCACCACCCAACATCCAGACGAACCTCTCTGAAACCATCTAGATGAATAAAAACCAGAAGGGTCACATTGACAGGTAAAGCCTTCACAGCAAACCAAACAGGCCTTCTGCCCTCAAAATGAGATATTAACGGCTGAGTAACGACAGTGCCTGTGCACAGCCCATAGGGCTGACTGAAGAACAGGGCTGGGAAAGCTGGAAGAGGTACCTCAAGTGGCTACTAACAACATCTAGATCTTTCTGGCAGGCTGGGGGCTGGAGTCCCCCCGTTAAGCCGGGGCCAGGACAGGAGAGCAGCACAAGGGCACCTCCAGCCCATGGCAACTCACCCAGGCTCCCGCGGCAGTCGAGGATCTTGAAGCCACTCTGCATGCAGGCTGCCAGCAGCACGAAGTCACACGTTGGGTGCCACTTCAGCCTCCACACACCACCTTCAACGTGGGTGTCTGCCAGCGGCTGCTTCATGTTCCTGGTGTCCCACAGCAGCACGTGCTCGTCATAGCTGGGGACAGGCCACAGATAAATGGGCAGACAAGCAGTGATGCTGCTGCAGAGCAGCAAGTACAGGAGAAACTCAGGGAAGACCACATGCTCTCCACCACACTGCACTTCTGAAGAGGCCACACCTTGAGCAGCAGGAGCATGTTCAGAGTAACAGGGGACTGGTCACACCAGTGAAGAGCAGCCCAAAGGGACTTACCTGCCCGTAGCCAGAAGATTCTCCCGGTGGGGACTGCACTGAATGCTGCACACTCCCATGGAATGTCTGCAGAAGAACACAGAGCAGGGGGAAGAGATGATTTGAGAAGGGATTCTTCCTTAAGTTTCAAGGGGTTTGGGGCCACATTACTGCATCAAGGTGTCTCGGGAAAGGAGAATAAGGCAAGCTCAAAGTTCAGTCCAGTGAAACACCCAAGGAGAGTTCTACAGAGTCCCGCAGCCTTTCACAGCAAAACTTCTACTCTCAGTCTCTCAGCACAAATATTTTCTAGTAACAGTTCCACCATGAGCTACTGTTCAAAGTCTGCAAGAATTTCAGCAAAGCAGCTCCATTCCCAGGAGTCCTTCCTCCCAACATTACTATTTCCATAGCAATAATCCCTAGTGTATTTTAAGGTTACATATCAAATTTTACCAGAGAGCTGTGTATATTGTTTTAATCATATTCTAAAAGATGGGTTATGCCACCAGGAAAAAAAAAAAAAAGAGATTAAGTGAGTGAACAGTGGAGAACAACATATTTTCTAGAATCATTCCATAATAAGATATCCAAATTTTACACACAGAGAAATTCCCAAAATAAAAGTGTAAATCTGGATCCTTCTTTTAGAAAGAAGCTACATGAGGAGTTGGTTTATTATGTTGAAGGACAGGGAGGAGAAAGTCTCAGCCTTAAGTTGTCCTGATTACAGAATCCCAGCCTGGTTTGTGTAAGAGCTCATCTCAATCTCCTCTCTGTCGTTTAAACCCATCACCCCCCATCCTGTCCCTACAACCCCTGATGAATAGTCCCTGCTGACAAACGCTAGCAGCCATCTCTGTTTCCCAGGGTGGCAGAAACAGGGCTCCATGTCCCTGCACATCTCTGAATTCCATGCCTCGGGAAGGGCATGGGAGCCTGGGGTGCTCATACACACACCGCAGGGTCCGCTCACTCACTCACCTCCGGCTGGTGAAGACGGGGGCCTCTGGCCGGCGCCTGGTGTCCCAGCCCTTGAGCAGGTTGTCGTCTCCTCCTGCACAATGACAGAGCACCACTGCCCTGAGCACCACCCAAACCACCAGCACAGGGCCCTGGGACAGAGCTGTTGATACAGAGCTGATGCTTTCCAGCTCTAGGATTGCAGTGTTGAAGAGACCAAACAGCATTTGAGGCTCACAGTGCTCCTCACCACAGAAGAGACGTGTTAACAACACCCTCACTTTGCTAAGCCAAAGAGAGACTCTAGAAGCTCTCTGGCTCTTGCACACCACAAGAGATCATCATCTTTTTTGCCATTATCCAAAGTACAGTTTATAAGGTACAGCTTCTCCTAATTAAATCCAACCACTTCCCACAATCCAGAAGCCTCTTCCCCCAGCAGAGGCCCCAGCTATTTCAAGAGGTGTGATGCCAGCAGCACACCCATCCCTGGAGATGAAAATCCCAAGAAACACACATCCCCAAACGAGGTGCGTCCACCCCAACCCTCCCAAATGAGATTCCCAGCCCTTACAGACCTGAATACACGATATCTGTGTCCCAGTAATTAAAAGCAGCAATCCAAGCCTCAAATTTGTGAGCTTCCCACTGGTTCAGGATATGCACAGAAGGAGCAGATTCATCTATAGACAAAAGATTCAGCTTCCCCTCTGAGTCACTGCTGATCACTCTCAAAGGACATCCACTAGAATGGAAAGCACAGAAAACATCAGAAATTACTGAAACAATCAGAGATGTTGTTTCAACTGAACATTGACAGAAACTGATACAACAGCAAAAGGAATGCACAAGATTTATACTGTTCTTTTCAGCTTCAGCCCATACCATCTTAGAATCACCTACACCAATGATCCCCATTCCTGACTCACAGCAGCAGCAATTGTTCATGTGAGGGAAAGAAAATGAGCCCTAGCTCTGTCCTTCTCCTACATGCAAAACCTGATTTCTCACATACTTGATATTACATCAATAAACAAATTCCACATGAAGAGGGATTTTAGGTTTTTTCCTCCATTTCAGACTGACATGGACCTCTTGCAGTCTCTTCCCTCGTCTGGAGTACAAAATGTTTTATTTCCTTTCTATCACAGACATCAGAAGCACTGGCTGATCCTGACTGGTCCTGCTCTCCTCTTTTAGACCCCAACACAAAAGGGACGTGGAGCTGCTGGAGCGAGGCCAGAAGAGGCCCCGGAGCTGCTGCGAGGGCTGGAGCAGCTCTGCTCTGGAGCCAGGCTGAGAGAGCTGGGCTGGGGCAGCTGGAGAAGAGAAGGCTCCTGAAGGGGACACCTTAGAGCAGCTCCAGTGCCTAAAGGGGCTGCAGGAAACCTGGAGAGGGGCTTTGGACAAGGGCCTGTAGGGGCAGGACAAGCTTTAAAGTCCCTTCTAACACAAACCAGTCTGGGACTCACAAAAGCCACCAAAGATTCATTCATCAAAGCCCCCGACTTATACTTGAAGCTGTCACACACCCTCCCCAGACTCCAGTACCAGCCTTTATGCCTCATACTCACCACTGCTCTCGTCCAGTGGACCAGTCTAAGGACAAAGCCAGACACTGTGCTCCGAGATCAACCCTGAAGCAAGGCTCCAACATGCAGCTGTTCTTCTACTGGAAAGAAAAGGAATGGGTTAAGACTGGGAAGACAGCAGGTACATAACACCACATGTACTGCTTACTCCCACTGCAGGTGTTTTCCAGAGACAGACGGGCATATTAGGGTCCCATACTAAAGAAAAGATGAAATGTCCCTGCTTGTAGTAACTTTGCACCTTCTGCTACGTTTACCACTTAGTCTGTACTTATTCTAAAGTGCCAGTTCCCAGGATTTGCTTCTATGCCTCTCATCTCCCACACCCTGCAGGTGGGTAGGGCCCAGCCAGCCTCTCTGCTGCCAATTTGTGGAATTTATGAGAAACAATATCAGAAGGCAAAAGCAATGCTTAAAAAGCTAAGCACACTGAGGAAGCCATGGAAACCATACAACGTTCCTGCAAGTCTCCACACACTGCTAATAACACCAGAGATGTATCAAATATGGACTACATGCAGCTTCAACAGCAGCAGGCGTTACAGCCACCTACCTCGCTTCCCGTCAGGTGGCAAAACTCCACGGCGCCTGTGGAGTCTGCAATGCCAACCATGGGATGTTCTGCAACAGGAATGTGGCACCTGAAAGATCAAACAAGTCTTGAATATCCATCTTTCTTGTATTTTAGGCAGAGAGCAAAGTCATCACTTTTATTCCAGGATGCACAAGGAGAAGGTACTACAAAAAGTCTTATGAAGAAAATCTAAAGCTTCATCCTCAATTTCCCACAAACCTGCATGGAACAGCAATGGAGCTGGTGCAGGGCCTGGAGCACAAGTGTGATGAGGAAGGGCTGAGGGACCTGGGGGGTTTAGTGTGGAGAAGAGGAGGCTCAGGGGGGACCTTATCGCTCTCTGCAACTGCCTGACAGGAGGATGGAGCCAGGAGGGGGCTGGTCTCTGCTCCCAAGGAAAAAGGGATGGGACAAGAGGAAACGGCCTCAAGCTGCTCCAGGGCAGGTTTAGATGGAGCTGAGGAACAATTCCTTCCCCAGAGGGTGCTCAGGCATTGGAACAGGCTGCCCAGGGCAGGGCTGGAGTCACCGTCCCTGCAAGTGTTCACACCCCGGGTAGACGAGGCCTCAGTGCCAGGGGTTAGTGGTGACCTTGGCACTGCTGGGACTGGACTTGATGAGCTGAAAGATCTTTTCCTACCTCACTGATTCTATGATTCTGTGATATATACATATTATATAAACATATCTAAACATATTACATCTACTATTAGAACAACAGAGGCCTACAGTCAGCGAGCAGCTGCTCGTAAGCGAGCACAAGAGCATAACTCAGAAATTAGTGTGATCTTTGCTTACTGGAACAAACCAGAGAATGCTTCCCTCCAAGAAGCCAGGGACAGCTTAATTAACAAATATTACT